CTCATTCCAGTGTTTGTATATCCTGTCACTCATTCCAGTGTTTGTTATATCCTGCCACTCATTCCAGTGTTTGTGAGATCCTGTACTCATTCCAGTGTTTGTGAGATCCTGTCACTCATTCTAGTGTTTGTTATATCCTGCCACTCATTCCAGTGTTTGTGAGATCCTGCCACTCATTCCAGTGTTTGTTAGATCCTGCCACTCATTCCAGTGTTTGTGAGATCCTGCCACTCATTCCAGTGTTTGTTATATCCTGCCACTCATTCCAGTGTTTGTGATATCCTGCCACTCATTCCAGTGTTTGTGAGATCCTGCCACTCATTCCAGTGTTTGTGAGATCCTGCCACTCTTTGTATCAATGCACAACGGGCATACAAGTTATAACTTGAATTGTTGATGATTTTAATTTCTATGGAATTAGTTTCATTACAGAATTGTCGGACCTTGCATATATATATATATATATATATGTGTGTGTGTGTGTGTGTGTGTGTGTGTATATATATATATATATATCTTTCTCTCTCTCTCTCAAGCCTTATTCTCTTTTTCTCTCTCACGATCTATTTTATCTTGCAATTTACACTATTCTCTCTTTCTTGCACTCTATCGTTTCCTCTTTCTCTCTCACTCTCTCTCTCTCTCTCTCTCTCTCTCTCTCTCTCTCTCTCTCTCTCTTCACACACACACTTTCCTCTGCTGCTGTGAGTAATTTATTTCTCCAGAATTTATATGCATGAACAAGTGAATGCTTACAGAGACATTTCAACAATTGTCAACGATACACAGTTCGAGTGGTCTGTACAACACGATCATTAATGCATTTAAAACACCACTTCATTGCCATTAACAAAACCACTTCAGCTTCTGCCCGTGAATTCCAGGATGTGCAGTCAAACACAATCATTTCACCCAGGCGAATCCCAAGAACGGGCAATCACTGAAACACCATCACCTCACACAGGACCAGGCTCTCATATGTGTCGGCGCGTGTCTGCAGCTCGACAATCACATATCTGGAAGGAGCAAGGACAAACTACTGAACTTACATTTGCATCGAACCCCTCCCCCCCACCCCTTCTCCCCCCCCCCTTTTTTTCCCCCCAGAATTCTGCAAATAATGATCAAGGTACAGTTGGCTAATACGGAGCCATAACATTTAAAATGTTTAACAATTATCAAGTGCCTTGTCGACTGGCCTGGACAATAATGCATGGGCTATTGTCTCTTTAATCTGCAATCTGCAACAGCATGCGTTAGTTTGTGTGTTGACACCTCTGCTTGCTATGACATCTGGCTGTCAAGTATTTTCTCTCGAATGCTTAAATGATGCTTAAACATGAAGATAATTTAATTGTACATAATTTTATTCCATGTAGCTTCATGTCTTTCCGCAAGCAGTTGAAGCACAAATCACGAAAGTCCACAGCTCCAGTGAAGACCTGTAGGGCAATACGAAACATCTACATTCACGAAATGAAAGCTACATTGGTACGTGAGTCAGAGAATTCTTTACACCAAGAATGTTGATGTAAACTTGTCCTGGACCTACAAACACAGGATGAACGGGGTCAACGCATATGGACAGGAAACACATCCTGGATGGTTACACAGTTGAAAGGACTTCACGGGATTTGGAGCTGTTTGATTTTCATCCTTTAGAGGGTAATCTTGCAGCATGAAAATCTGTAGGGGTACAGTTTACTCTCCCCCCCCCCCACCCCCCCCCCCCCCCCCCCAATACATATGTCCTAGAAATAGAGCTTACCTGCCTCTCTTTCGTCTGGAGCAGCCAATTCTGACTTCAGTTGCCTGAGATTCACCTGTGAGCGTGCCACACCTGTTCCCTGTATCTGTGTCATTACCTGTCCTGCCCACGTAGACACTGAGATCATGAAGTCCTGTTTTTGTGTTGACAGAAAACAGACAAATCTGTCAGATCACGTCATGTGACTGTGCAGATGATTGTATGTAAATGTTTTGGTCTCCATCTCTACTGACTGGATTTACAATGCAGGACACTGGTTCTTGAGCTCGTAGATTTCGGGCACTGGCTTCTCTATTTAAATACAGAAGGACCTGATTTCGGGCACTGCCTTCTCTATTTAAATACAGAAGGACCTGATTTCGGGCACTGCCTTCTCTATTTAAATACAGAAGGACCTGATTTCTGGCACTGCCTTCTCTATTTAAATACAGAAGGACCTGATTTCTGGCACTGCCTTCTCTATTTAAAATACAGAAGGACCTGATTTCTGGCACTGCCTTCTCTATTTAAATACAGAAGGACCTGATTTCTGGCACTGCCTTCTCTATTTAAATACAGAAGGACCTGATTTCTGGCACTGCCTTCTCTATTTAAATACAGAAGGACCTGATTTCTGGCACTGCCTTCTCTATTTAAATACAAAAGGACCTGATTTCTGGCACTGCCTTCTCTATTTAAATACAGAAGGACCTGATTTCTGCACTGCCTTCTCTATTTAAATACAGAAGGACCTGATTTCTGGCACTGCCTTCTCTATTTAAATACAGAAGGACTGATTTCTGGCTCCACTGCCTTCTCTATTTAAATACAGAAGTACAGAAGGACCTGATTTCTGGCACTGCCTTACTCTATTTAAATACAGAAGAGACCTGATTTCTGGCACTGCCTCTCTATTTTAAATACAGAAGGACCTGATTTCTGGCACTGCCTTCTCTATTTAAATACAGAAGGACCTGATTTCTGGCACTGCCTTCTCTATTTAAATACAGAAGGACCTGATTTCTGGCACTGCCTTCTCTATTTAAATACAGAAGGACCTGATTTCTGGCACTGCCTTCTCTATTTAAATACAGAAGTACAGAAGGACCTGATTTCTGGCACTGCCTTCTCTATTTAAATACAGAAGGACCTGATTTTGCTGGCACTGCCTTCTCTATTTAAATACAGAAGTACAGAAGGACCTGATTTCTGGCACTGCCTTCTCTATTTAAATACAGAAGGACCTGATTTCCGGCACTGCCTTCTCTATTTAAATACAGAAGGACCTGATTTCGGGCACTGCCTTCTCTATTTAAATACAGAAGGACCTGATTTCGGGCACTGCCTTCTCTATTTAAATACAGAAGGACCTGATTTCTGGCACTGCCTTCTCTATTTAAATACAGAAGGACCTGATTTCTGGCACTGCCTTCTCTATTTAAATACAGAAGGACCTGATTTCTGGCACTGCCTTCTCTATTTAAATACAGAAGGACCTGATTTCTGGCACTGCCTTCTCTATTTAAATACAGAAGGACCTGATTTCTGGCACTGCCTTCTCTATTTAAATACAGAAGGACCTGATTTCTGGCACTGCCTTCTCTATTTAAATACAAAAAGGACCCTGATTTTTTATCTGGCACTGCCTTCTCTATTTAAATACAGAAGGACCTGATTTCTGGCACTGCCTTCTCTATTTAAATACAGAAGGACCTGATTTCTGGCACTGCCTGCTTCTCTATTTAAATACAGAAGGACCTGATTTCTGGCACTGCCTTCTCTATTTAAATACAGAAGTACAGAAGGACCTGATTTCTGGCACTGCCTTCTCTATTTAAATACAGAAGGACCTGATTTCTGGCACTGCCTTCTCTATTTAAATACAGAAGGACCTGATTTCTGGCACTGCCTTCTCTATTTAAATACAGAAGGACCTGATTTCTGGCACTGCCTTCTCTATTTAAATACAGAAGAAACTGATTTCTGGCACTGCCTTCTCTATTTAAATACAGAAGTACAGAAGGACCTGATTTCTGGCACTGCCTTCTCTATTTAAATACAGAAGGACCTGATTTCTGGCACTGCCTTCTCTATTTAAATACAGAAGTACAGAAGGACCTGATTTCTGGCACTGCCTTCTCTATTTAAATACAGAAGGACCTGATTTCCGGCACTGCCTTCTCTATTTAAATACAGAAGGACCTGATTTCGGGCACTGCCTTCTCTATTTAAATACAGAAGGACCTGATTTCTGGCACTGCCTTCTCTATTTAAATACAGAAGGACCTGATTTCTGGCACTGCCTTCTCTATTTAAATACAGAAGTACAGAAGGACCTGATTTCTGGCACTGCCTTCTCTATTTAAATACAGAAGGACCTGATTTCTGGCACTGCCTTCTCTATTTAAATACAGAAGGACCTGATTTCTGGCACTGCCTTCTCTATTTAAATACAGAAGGACCTGATTTCGGGCAACGTGGAAGTCATCGCAAACTGTGAAGATTAAAAAGTTTAAAATGTGCTCTCCAACAAATATATTACCCTCACGTTAACAAGGTTTCGAACCAAGGATCTCAGGAATCATAGCCCAGCGTCAAACGAAAAACAACTTGCCCCTTCTCCTTTCAGTTAGGCACTTTCTAAGTGGCATGTATCTGGCCAGTGGCTATTTTAAATTCGGATTTTCCACCGCATTTGCAAATTCAATCAAAGAAAAAAAGAAAAGCCACATTTCCGTGACCTTTAAGCTCCTAAAACAATAGTAATATCTAGAAACAGGTTTATGGGTTTAAAATCAATAAGATCCACTTCCTTCCACAATGCTGTTTCATCCCAACGACTTATCATCTGCCCAGAAAATCGCACAAATCATGAACTGCTTAACTCCAGAAATCTCAGTACAAATCTGAATTCGTGAACTGAACAAGGCAATTCTGTGCAGAGAGCTTTCGACTTTCAGAGAACTGGTTAAACCACTTTGCCTGAGAGACCTGCGACCAGCAACAACCAAACCAGTTTTGAAATTTATACCAGTAATTGTGTATTGGACAGAAAGACATTGAACATACTCACGATTGAAAGAGCTGCCCAGAACCCTAACACTGGACACAGTCTTCTCACTGAGGAGGTCCACATACCAGAACGGCAGTCGCTCAAGTCCTGCATAAAATAGATTGAGTGTATGCAGATATTTTATGTTTTGTAACATGCCCAGATCGGAGTAAGTATGGTCATGCACTATGTGCAATGAACATGATCATGAAAGAAACAAAGAACCATGTTACATAACATTGCTGGTACAATCAAATACGTTAAATGTACCCGATTTAATATTTACCAGTACAATCACACCATACGTGTTCTTTGTCAACTGTAGTTTTTTTTTTTTTTTTATGTTGCTTGTTCTAGAGCCCGGGATTCCCCGTGGCGGCGTAGCCCATTGTATGCCAGGCTGTCTGAAGACAGCGGGTTCGCTAACATGATTAGTTGTGTGGCTCACAATCGCAGCTATGTTTTAAACGCCTTGATGAGATTGTTGTTGAAGCTAAGGAGCTCGTGCTTTTCCCAGTCGTTCTGCCAAGACAGATGAGGCAGATAGGATATAACCTGATACAATCAGAATGTTTTCTCTTGGCAACCAGGATCATTGTTGTCAAGTAAATTTTGTCTACAACTATCTTCTGAAACTGCGTAAAGGGATACGGAAAAAAAGCACAATCTATCCATCGACATATTCATGCACCTACTTTCTTCTTTTTCTGTGACCACCGACTGTAAGCTCTGACGGAACGTCCTGGCTGCTCGTCCACTTGGACTTTGGGTTCGTGCCAGAGCATGAGGTATGCGTGTACATTCGTTTCACTGGCATATTTGTATGCAGTATGTTGCTTCATGCCTCTCGGATGTACTCCAAATTCGAAGGACGACATCAATCCAATCTGTCGGATGATTGTCGCCATTTACATCTGTCAGTTCATCAATTTACCCCGACATGTATCCTTACATGTATGAGTGTATACTTCTATATATCCACGCACGCGCGCACACACACACACAACATACGCACACCCTCGCACAGCACATGCACAGGCGTAAATACAAACAGCATGCACTCGCGCACTCATAGGCACACACATACAAAAGAAGACATTTACAGAACTACATACATACAGCCACCGACCAGTGCTACTACAACTTGTTGTATCCCCGTCGACCGCGTTTGCTGCTTGCCAGAGCTCGTGGTCGGATTTGTTAGGTTCCCGTTTGGCAGTGGATGACTGGAAGCTCGGTTTATCCACGGCCATGTTTGTGAGTGACCTCAGCTGGGCTGAAACAGTGTTTAAGTTGTTAGCCTCTTTCGTTTTTTTTACACAACCATGCTAGAAACAGAACCTTATATCTCCCTCGACACCCACAGCGGTAAAAGAGGAAGTGAAGAAGAAGAAGACACAACCATTTGTGACCTACTTATTGACTTTCCATCGTATCTGTGTCAAATGTTTGTGTCTGAAAGGATTATACAAGAGACACATTGACAAATAAGTAAGTTAACAGTTCGGTCAGTGAAATAATATAAAAGCCGACGGTAGCACGAGATTAAAACTTTAATTTTTTTTTTTTTTCTATTATATGAAATAATAAAGAATGTGTTTGATTGCACTGGAATTGAGGCACTAAGATTTTACTTGAATCCAGTACTGGCTGACTGGCAGCAGGGAGCAAAACGGTACACTAAACTTGTAGTGAGCAAGACACGAATGCTGAATTGTTGACACTGATGAGTTAATCTACTGTACTAATGTAGGCATGACTGTTTTAGTCATTGTACAGCACAGAAGGAAATACTGAACAAACGACTATACTACAATCGGCAAGCAACTCTAAGACACACTGACGTCAC